GTGACACACAGAGAAAGTAGGAGGCATTGTAGGCTTTTATAGTAGTACTAAAGGATTTTTATGTGTAAAGGTTGGGATAAGAACTGAATAAAATGGGTATTCTTGGATATTATATATTATGAATACAGAAACAGGTTAGAATTTTTCATGCTAGTGACCTAAACATGTTTTCTTTTTTTTTTTTTTTAAAGAAAATGATAATTGCCATATTAAAATTCAGGTTTATTTAATCCACAATATTGCTTTTATGCATTAATCTTGGTTGTTAGGGGATGTTATGACCTGTCCCTGAAGGTGAGGGTAACTCAGCTTCTTGTTAATAGATCTCTTGGGGCAGATTAGAGTGAAACAGCACTGAATGACTTGTGTTCATTTCTATCTATCTAATCAATCCACACATATACGTATATGTATATATAGGGCTTATTTTAGAACCATTTGGTTGCCATGGAAAGGAGGTATATAGCTGTTTTGGTTATTATCTATAGAAAGAGAGCAATATAAAAATTTAAAAACATAGCTGTTTTGGTCATAAGCATTGTTTTAGCATGTTAAAGGTTTCACAGCTACTCGATTTTAACAACAAAAATTACATAATAGGAATTCAGTTAACATTTCAGAGTTTGGATACAGTAATTTACTCATGACGTTCTTATTACAACAAAAATATATTTTGAAAATTCCTTTTGTATAAACAATATTATTATGATGAGTCTAGAATTCTTCTAAGGGCTTTTTAAGATACTGAATATATATTTTTTTTTTTTAAATTTAACCAATGGAGAGGAAGAAATACATTTTCATTGGGATTTTGCATGCTGCAAAATTCATGGTAAAAAGAAAGCATTAAGCATTTGAAGTCTAAAATTGAAAAATCATATAGATTAAGAACATTTATGTTACTGCTGTGAAGTGTATATTCTGAGTAATCTCGCATAAAAGTAACACCCACTCAGTTTACAGCAAACCTGACATTCAGGTGATCTCCATTTCCTAGCCTGCTAGCATCCTAGAAAGTGTTGCCCATCAGATGCCCCAACATGATGAGAAGGATTTGATGTCAAAGAGAGAAACAGCAATGGGATGCCCACAGAATATTCTTTGCTGAGTTTATATTATGTAGACATGTGAGAGTTGAGAACCACTTTTGAATGAAGAATTGCTGTCACCTGATGATCCAAGGTATTCATAGTTCAAAGAAATCTTTTCAGAAGACTGTCTGAAGTTTTCTCATGGGATGAGAAAACTTCTCATTATTAGGTTAATGTCAGACTACCAGTATTCAGCTGTTCCTGACAATTGTCGAATGCCTTATTATGAAAAAAGTTGGTGGAGTTTATCAAGGTCACAGAGGATATGTCTACATATCTTAACAAAGCCATGGCTTGTTTTAGTTTGAACTTGGGTAGACAGGTTTGACAAGAATCAAACTGAGAAGGTATGGTAACTCAGCAGTTTCTGTCTTAATTTTGGATTGAAGAAATTAAATCCATTAGTGCATAAGAAAATAAAAGTCTTTGTGTATCTTTCAGAACAAGATAGAGATTCTAGAGGTCTTATTGTAATACTATTTGTGAGCACTAGAATTCATGTAAACTTGGGAAAGTAAAATCATGCAGCTTTATGTACAACATTTTCAGTATTAAAACAAGAAACAGTATGCACAAAAATGCCTTTTATTTGTCTGTGGGGCTTATTAATATTAGTGTTCACAACCTTAAACGTTAGAGACTAACCAGTCAGATGAATTCAATCAGCATTTGCAAACTGATACTTCTCAATTTAGAAGACTTAGCTAGACACTGTTAAAATCATAGTATTAAAGTTGGCTGCAGTTATTTTAAGTCCTGCCACTGGAACTCATTTTTTCAGCTAATGGTATTTTAAAGCTGTATATTAAGATTCATCCACACAGAAGTGATACATGCAAAGAACAGTAACCATATACTGGTCAGCCAGAATGGGCAATAAGATTTGGTTGGAAAGCTCTGCAGCCACTTGAACAATTGTTTCCTTGCAGGCATGTGAAATATCAGGAAATCAAAGCAGATTACTGTGAACTATGTCCTTGTGGGAACAAAAGGTACTTGGAGCATTAAGGAATTTATGACTACGAGCAGTATGCCAATACCTAATCCGAGGTACATTTCCAGCAAGTAAAACTCAGACTGAAGGTTTTTCTGGCAGAACTAAATATTAAAATTAATTTACTTAAAATAAAAGCTAAATTGTTTTTGCTTTTTAAAGGATATTCTTCAGTTTTTCTTAATAGTACACTTGGGGGACCTAAGTGCATGAAGCACACACCCAACTACAGGCATCTTGTGTTGGTTAGACCATGTCCCTTTCAGTGTTAGGATGCATTTTTGCAACCCATTAGAACATGGCACAGAAAACTCTCACCTAAGGCATCTTTCAAAGGAGCCAAGTAGTTGGAACTTTTGCTTGGAATATAGAAAACAACATTAAACTAATCAGGGAGTTTGTGTTAGCTCAATAAGCACGCTTACATGGTGGAAAAGAAAGATGATTTTAAGCTACAACATTTCATCATCATGGCTAGGCTTCGCGAACGAAGATTTGGGAAGGTTCTATCCACATTTGTTACAGACACGCTGGTGGCTTATGAGGCCAATACGTGACAGACATATCTGATTGCAAAAGGCTCAGCAGAAGGACTCCTTAGATGGTATATTCTGCAAGACACGGTTCTTTCTGCGTTGCCTTTTCTCCTTGAGAGTGATCCTGCGTGTGTTCTCAAAGGAGACAGCTGCGTTATAGATGGTGTGTCTCCAGGCCTCCCGATTGGAGGCCAGAGTAGACCAGTTATGGTGATCAATATGGCCAAGGCTGAGATGTTGTTTCAGGGAGTCCTTGTGTCTTTTCTTTGGGGCTCCTCTCATGCGGTAGCCAGTGGCAAGTTCACCATAAAGCAGGATCTTAGGAAGGCAGTGGTCCTTCATCCTTGAGACTTGCCCTGCCCAACGCAGCTGTGTTCTCATCAACATGGCCTCTATACTTGTGACTGCTGCTTGCTCTAGAACAGATGTATTGGTCACAAAATCTGACCAGTGGATGTTTAAGATTGTACGGAGGCAGCATTGATGGAAGCGTTCTAGGAGATGCAGGTGGTGGTGTTGCCATATCTGACTTGGCCGTACTGATCCTCATGGAGTGAGATGATCATTTTAAGGAACTTGGGGGGACAACCTAATCGTTCCAAAATCTGCCGGAGACCTTTTCTGCTCACAGTATTGAAAGCCTTGGTGAGATCAACAAAGGTTACAGAAAGACCTTTGTTCTGTTCCCTACACTTCTCTTGCAGTTGTCTGAGAACAAATACCATGTCTGTGGTCCTCCTGTTGGCTCTGAAACCACACTGACTTTCAGGTAGGATTCCTTCTGCAATAGCGGGTATTAGTCTGTTCAAGAGTATTCTTGCCAGGATTTTGCCGGCAATGGAGAGCAGAGTAATACCACGATAGTTTGAGCAATCTGATCTAATTCCTTTCTTCTTATACAAAGTGATGATTGTATCACGAAGGTCTGATGGTAGTTCGCCGAGTTCCCAACAGAGCATCACAAACTCGTGAAATTTGGTGTGGAGTGCAAGGCCCCCATGTTTCCAGACTTCAGGTGGAATTCCATCAACCCCAGCTGCCTTGTCGATTTTCACCTTCTGTATGGCCTTGAGGGTTTCTCCTAAAGTGGGGGCAGTATCCAATTCATACTTTACTGGCTGTTGTGTGATGGACTGAATTGCTGAGTCTTGGACTGCTGAAGAGACTTGCTGAGTCTTGTTTGGTACTGAAAAGAGTCTGAAAGTGTTCAGACCATCAATTCAGAATGGAGGTTTTATCTGTCAGAAGTGTTTGACCATCAGTACTGAGTAGAGGGCTTTGGACCTGGTATGTAGGCCCGTATGCTATTTTCAGGGCTTCATAGAAACCTTTGTGATCACCTGTGTCCACACATAATTGAATTTTTTCAGCTAGATCGATCCACCACTTGTTCTGGATCACGGAGTTTCTGTTGGAGCTTGCTGCATGCGAGACGAAAGGCTGTTTTTCTTGCGTGACAGGATGGCAGTGCAAGGTGTGCTTGGTGGGCGGTTCTCTTCTTCCTCAACAATTCCTGGATTTCTTGATTGTTTTCGTCAAACCAGTCCTTGTTCTTCTTGAGGGAGAACCCTAAGGATTCTTTAGAGGATTGCAGGATGCTGGTTTTAATATGGTGCCAAATTGTTTCAGGAGAGTAATCTACAGAGTCTGTGGAGTGGTTTTCAAGCCTAGCTTGAAGGTTTGCCTGGAATCTGTCTCTTACTGTGGCTGATTGGAGATTGTTAACTTGGAGTCTTCTCCTTGGGATATTGCCCCTTTTAGGTTTGAATTTGAGATTGAAGTTGAGTTTACAGCGCACAAGCCAATGGTCTGTTTGGCATTCTGCGCTGGGCATCACGTGGGTATGGTGGACATCGTGAACTCTCTCCGTTGCACCAGGACATAATCGATGAGGTGCCAATACTTAGATCTGGGGTGCATCCAGGTTGTCTTCAGACTATCTTTCTGCTGAAAGATAGTATTAGTGATGGTGAGCTGTTGCTCCGCACAGAATTCTAGCGGAAGTCGACCATTATCGTTGCAGTTTCCAACACCATGCTTGCCTAATATTCCTTTCCAGGCATCAAAATTCTTACCTACTCTGGCGCTGAAATCACCAAGGATAATGATCTTATCATCTGCAGGCACCTTTTGGGTAAGACATTTATCCCACCTGCAGAATAGCGACATTGTCATTTGAGAACTTTTTAAGTATCGGGTTGAAAGCATGTGCCTGAAAACACCTCTCAGACAGAATGAGGCTTAAAATATATTTGCCCACGTCTCAATGAGACCTTGTATATGCTGGGAAAACAAAGTAATACCGTCACTTGGCACAGTGGAGGTGTACCTGAAAGCACTACTAAGTGAGACCTCAACCCCTTCTGTCCTGTTTTACAGGTTTAGGAACACCAGGGAGAGCCAAAGGTGAAGGTGGTGCAGAGAAGCCATCCACCAGTCTGGACTTGGACAAGAAAGTCTTCTCTCTGGGTGCGTAATACCCTTTTGCAGCTGCTGACAGAGACAAATTGGTCACTTTTCTAATGGAAAAATGATCTTGCTAGTTATGTTAGTTTTACAGAACTAAACACTTATAATTCAAGATACATTTTAAGGTTCAGCAGGTATTTTAAAAAGATAGGTGTGGACTATTTCAGTATGTTATTTTAACTACATGAATAATGAAGTAAACTGACTGCAAAAGCTAGAGTTTTTTTAGTCTTTTTTTTTTCCTTTCCTTTCCTTAAGCTTTAGTTTTGTCCTAGATTTAGCTTTTACATTTGCTTTTTCTTGATCTTTTCTTTGCTCTTTGCCCATATGAGAGTGTTTAATAACAATAAAAAAACCCCAAACCAAACAAACCCAACAGTTTTCTTATATAGGAGTATTACACATATTTTATTCTTTCCCATCTCCCCAAACCTCTGCGTTCAATAAATGTCACGAAAATATAAAGAATCCTATATTACGCTGAAATAAATTACAACTGTATTAATTTGAAATGGTAAGATAGATAATATATTAAAATTGGGCTATTATTCATCTTTTGATTGAAGGACATTTTAAATTCAATACGTTCTTGGTATGTAAAAAAAAATTAGGATAACATGTATGCTTGAAATGCTGTGTGATATTTTCTGTTCAGTTTCTACTTGTTTTATCTACTTTTATGTTTTCTTGGGGGTTGATTTTTTTCTTTCCCTTTGACATTTCATGGTCCTCACTATAAGGCCCTCAAATAAGGGCAGAACACCCTTGTGGAGAATTTTTCATCTACTTTGCTTTTACCTGTCTCCTATGTTTAGTCCTAAAAGTCCTAAGAATGAAAAATACTGGGAAAACTTTTACCTCTGAATTCTAGTTTACCCTCTTCTTTCAGAGATAAAAAGAAAATCACTGTACATAGAGACCCAGGTTTGCCTTCCAGAAGCATGTCAAAATATAAATGGAAGAAGGGTAGTGAATAATTATACTGTGTTTAGTGACGTCACATATCACATGAAAGTAGGATATACATTTTAATTCCACCATAACACTTGCTATTTTTACAAATAGGAAATTAAGCTAAAATACAGAGGCCAAGCATGAATATAATGGGCAACATTATAACATTCCATGAGAATTGAGAAACCTTTGGTTTTTTTTTTTTTTTAATTTAGTTTTTGACTCCTGTGTGAGCACAGTGTAATGAGAACTGTCAGCATGGTCACATTTCTCACTTATGTTCTATTTATTTTTTAAAAAGCTTGTTCATGATCTCTAGGGCTGGTGTTTCACACTCCACAGATTGAGAATGGTTGTCTAAGCACTTGGAGGAACTAACACATGAATTAGAAGACCCACATTCAGTTCACAGTCCAAGTGTGGCTGCTGGCAGATTGTTTAGAGTCTATCTTTGATTTGCAATTTTGTAATAGGAGAGAATAGCATTCCACAACAATAGCCCACTTATGAAAGAAATTACATTTGTTAAAGGAATATGCTATGAGAGGTTTTTATACAAGACAATTTGGTACAAGCAGACACATGCATGTATCCTTCTGATCTGTAAATACATGTTCTTTCATTTTATTTACAGAGCTTAGCCTAAAAATCAATATTATATGGATAAATATGTAGTATTACTATACGATCTATGGATGAAGTTCAGTATTCTTTAAGAGACAATATTTGTTTTCCTTTCTGCCGAACTCCAATCAGAAATATGCTTATTGTTATGGGACTGTTTTCAAATAGTCGTTGTTGCATCAGTGTCCATGGCAACTTAATTTTCAGGTTTTTTCTTCTTATTTTTTGTGGAATACACTGTACATAACTCAATAGCTGAGTTACTCTTTTGGAATGTTAGCTTTAGCAACCTTGAGATTATTGTATTTTATTTGATATTGAGATATTGCAGTATTATAAAAGATTACCTTGTGGACTGAAAATAAACTGCATATTCTGACATATGTGATGTTCAGCTTTGAGAAGGATAGTGTCTTGCTGATCTGTCTAGGTACATTTTAAAGCCTAAACCAAAAAATTTACCTGCAGGGTATATTCACCAGCAGTATTTTGCATCACACATATCTGCAAGCTCTATCTGCTGTTATATTTTGTGTTTGCAAGTTTTACATCATGTAAATACATTAAGTTTCCTTCAGCTGAAACTAGGAGACTGAACACATAGCTGAAGTACCAGGCATTTAAGACTAGCATTCCAGTGTCAGTGTCTTAACAACAGAATGGTTAACACTAGAAATTATACACATCTAATGTAACAAATATAATTAATTAATGTTTTGATCTGAAAGCATTTTAAAATGTTAAAGTCTTACTAATTTGCACTTTCTTAATGCCAGTATCTAGTAAACTATGCACAAAAGTCAATGGCCTCTTTTTATATTTCTACAAAGACTAAAAAGAAGAAAAATGTATTTTAAAGTAATTACACATCACTGTAATCAGTAAATTCTTACAGACTATTCCTTAATATAGTTTGAACTTTTATTATAACCAATGAAACTAAAACTTACTTGCCCCTCACAGGTGATGCAGGTGTGATACAATGTTGTTGTGTGTCTTATTACATTCTTTCTTCTACAAAATGAAGCAATTTCCAGTAGTTTTCCCTGTCTCAACAGTAATGACTGAGAATATAGGTAGAGTCTCACTGTTGCTGTGCTCACTGATGGAGAAACAGCATTCGTTAGGGACTGGGTTATGGCAAATTTAGGAGGCACTTAAAGCAGCCAGAATCCTTCTGCTGACAAGTCAAGACTGGAGTCTGAATCTGCTCTGTAGGCATATAGCTTCAGGTTAATATTACCCCTGGTGCACCCATTGGTGCTAGCAGATTATTTTGATAACATAGTGCCTGCAAACCGTGTTGCCTTATTTGGTTCCATTTGCTTATTTCAGTCTCTTTGATATTCATTGTTCTGAAGAGCTAATTCCTTTCTTAAATAAGAATGGAAATAAAACCCCAAAAAACCTAAAAAACCAACCCTGCTTTCTCATTAACTACAAGTGGTCTGTGCACATGGGAGTTGATGCTGATTGCAAGTAACTTTTCCTCGCAAGGAATTCTTATGGTAGAAGGCAGATGTTTAGCATTGAATAGTACAGTGCAAAGAAGAGCAGGTGAAAGGAAATACAATACAATAAATTTTCCTGAAAAGTGACTCTGAGTGTGCCTAATTTCTGGAATGTAGGTCTGATCTCATTTGGAATTTCTGGATATGAATACTATTGTCTTGTGGGTGGGAGTTTTTGATATTATCAGGCTTTGCAGATGGGGAACATGCTATTGAGATTGTTAAGCCCATGACTGCAGCAATGGAAAAAAATATTGTATCTCTGTTGTGTGAACTTTGACCAATATTTTCTAATTGAATTTAAAAAAAATGGATTTACTTACACAGAGTTTTAAGTAGAGACTACTGTTCAACATTTTATTTCACTTCTATCACTGAAATACGTAATTTTGTTTTCCAGACATGGACATTTAAACCCACTATGGTTAAAGTGCACAATTTATGTAGCATTCTATTTTCTATAAGGTTAAGTATGACTCATTGGAAAAATCTAAATCCTGAATGGTGATTCACCACCAAAGCGGTGAATTACTGCTTTTGGATACAGGGTAGCCAAGGTGGGTCATCAAAGATAAGAACAAAAAGAGAACAAACAGATGACTCATAGCATTGACAGCAAGACACAAGAATCATTTAGAATTTCGTGATCAGTTTAACAATGTTTCTCGCGAGAAAATAAAACGAAGCTCTGATGTGTGCTGCTTTTTCCTTCCTTCCATTGTAGTGATGTGTAAAGGCTTAAATAAAATTGTAATCCTAGACAAAACTGTTATTCCAAGGAATTTACATGTAATTTAAATATTTTGTGGGAAATGAGTGAAATGGATAGTGTGAGAGGATGGGTGGAACACTAAGCCAGCAACATTTTATAAGAAAGTGCAAGAACCAAGACAAATCAATGAGAAGCATTTTTCATATAGCTTGCCCCAGCTACTTCTCTAAGTAACAATGGATTTTTGCACACATCACAGCAGAATATGGTTTCATTTTGGCACAGGGTGGAGGAAGTGTTAACCTGGGACATCGGTTTGCAGAAATATTCTTGGTTTTTGGAGGGTGCCATAAGGCTGAGAAACGATTTTGAGAACATCCCGGTAACAGACTGCTAAAGCTGGTGTTACTGGGGCAGCATAAAAGAGTGTGCTTGATCTGATACCATTTTAAGATTAAATATATCAGATCAAGCAGTGCTGGAAGTGTTACATAGGCGAGGAAAGAAATCAAGAATAATCTGTAAGTGAGAAAGGGAAGCTGACAGGGTAGATGGATGGGTTAAAAAATAAAAGAAAGTAGGTAATCTTGGCAACTACAAAGTTGCTATTAACAGAAACCTTACAGGAAAATTTTCTGTATGTAATGTATATCTGTATTTGTATTTTATTTATATATGTATTATATATATATATCTATATACTTGTATTTTTCGCATGTTTCTTTCTGGTGATGGAGTTTACAGTGTGACTAGTAATACCTCTGATAGACTTTTCTAGGTGAAAAAGACTTATATGGAAAGCTTTTAATTCCAATTTAATATTGTTTATGATAAATAGTTAATTGCTTACTGTATTGGAATTGTTAAACAGTTACATCATCTTAACCTTATGTTCCCCAAAACTACCTATATTTTTAAAATATTTTGGACTGATGAAACTCTTGCTGCAAGTCAGGCATCCCTCCAGAGGTTAAAGTGAGAGATAATTATCTTAGTGTTGCATATATAAAAAATATTAACCATGCTCTTAGACCAAAGGCAGGTCTTCTCCTCTGTCTGTAAATGCCTAAATTACTACTGAACAGTGAGTCAATGTCTGCATAATAGCTCTTGGCCTCTAAAATTGTCTTTGCAGATGCCTGTAATAGTTTCAGAACTTATGTCTGGCAGTTTTGCTCTTCTTCTCTGGAAAAATTAGATCAACAGAAATGTCTGAATGTGGGTGTTGATCAAGTATTTGCAAATGACCAAAAGTCAAGAGATTTGTTACTCTGCTTTGATAATGTAAAAAGGACTCAGGTGCCTCAGCTGAAGGTTATTCTGGTCTTTTGCAGGTAAAGAGCATGCTAATGAGGTAAATAGCCATGGACATTCTAACACACGGTTAAGGTGCTTGTAAGTTACATTGCTCTGCCTCTACCCATTATTGTTTCAGTGTCTGGAAACATTTGCTGAGTTCATAACTAATGCTTCAAACTGACTTTGCTAAGAGCTTGTCCTTTCATAACTCTGTGTGAGTTTGTGATTGCTTTTCACTTCTAAAGGATCATCAGGAGTAGCTATAAGCTTAAATTTAGCCACAAAACCAGAACATGTTGACTCACCCACAGTGTCAGCTGCCACAGAGTAGATTTATTGAATGAAAAGATACATGTTGCAGATTCAAAAACCCCAACCAAAATGAAGATTTGTATAGATGTAGATCACCCTTGTTTTCATGTGTGAAATTGGAATCAGTTTCCTCCTTATAATTCATAATGTTGGTACTGCTATAAGTATAGAAATTAATAAATCACACAATGCCTCAGGCAAAAACACCATTCTTATTTTATAGATACTATTCTGATTGTCTTTGTAGGATTAAGATTATGGTCACTGAATGTGAGGAAAAGAATCAAATCAGAGTGACAAATTGGCTCAATTGGTCTTTGCAGTAATGCAGCTAAGGTTTCTACGCAAATGTGGTGTCTTGTAATTAGCAACATGGTTGCTAATTGCCAAATCAGTTATGATTATTAGTTAGTGCAATTTATATGTTTTTTAGCATAAAACATTCTAATTTATGTTTCTAACTATAAACACAAGAGGCATTCTTTTGAGAAAAAGAACAACTTTCAAAACAATAGTAAATAACATTTTATTTAAAGCTAATGACAGAGTGCTGTTTAATTACATTTAAGAATGCTGGGATTTTTTAGTGCTTATGGTATAAAATGGTTACCAAAGGATTTGCAATTGACAATGGTCTAAGTAAAGTTTTCTAACAACTCATTCAGATAGAAAAAGAAGGGAGACTTTATTCAGGATTTTAAAATTAGTCAGGAATACCTTCACTCAGTGAATGCAAGATCTACATGTCCCAACATTTTTATTCTTTTGTTGCTGTGAGTTTGTTCATGAAGATAGTCTGAACGATTTCAAAATAAGGTTAACCACCATAGCAGACAGTACAAAGATAAAATGTAACAGGAAATTTCAGGTATCGTTATGCTTTTTGTGGTATAAAGTTTTCTATAGGAGTTGACCGAACTGGCGCAGATTTTTTTGTTTAGGGGTAGAAATGCCATATTAAAGGCAGCATCAAAATAGATTGTCTCCCTGCAACCTCAAGACACGCAGATTTAAATGCGCTGTGCTGGAAAGTTTGGGTTTTTTGAGGTTAAAGTGCTCTTGGCTTCCTATATACACTTGTGAATGTAGTGGGGAGGCTTTGTGTTTGCCAGAACTGTGTGCACTAGCTGAGGATGCTTTGTGGCCACAGAAGCATGAGCCCTTGACATTTATGTTGCAGTATGCAGCTGGTAAGAATCAGAGGTATTGCCTCTGACCTCTGAGAGACATGTTCCAGTTTCTTTATGGTGTGGACGACTTGTTATTATGCATTTTTTGTTGGAAGTTCTTTGCTACTGTTCTCTGTTTGCGATAGTTAACTTTTTGTTGTCTTTTTTTTTCCTTGTTGAAGATTGTAGGTTTCTTCAATGTGATATTAAAACACAATAGCAGGATTTCAATAATTTCTCCATGAGCCCAACTTATTATCACCACAAGAAGTAAAAGTAAAACTTGTTGTTTCTAAGATTCTCTGTTCCCTAAGAAATTGAAATGATCTTATTTTTTAAAGTTTACTTAAGCAAAATTATTCTTAATTCTACAAACAGCTTTGACCCAGGTTTTTACTAAATATGATTCATTTTATCGTCATCTTTTTATGTTATAACGTACATTAGCTAAATCATAAAGTAATCATTAGAGACTTAGTAAAGACCAGAAGGATTATCACTGTACCTACTTGATGCTTGCTTTTTGCAAAATGAGTCATGGAACAGCTAATAAAAATATAAAATTTTGGAAGAAATTAAGCTGTAACTGTGCTGTATAGCATGTGCCATCTGTTTCCAGTGTGTTGCTAAACATCATAATGGGCAGAGGGAAGTGATCAGTGCTGTACTGTACAGGGGTCAATCATTAGGGTTATCCTGGTAGTCCAGAAGGATGCTGACCTGCTGAGCTGTGCTGGCTGGGAGGACTTGTTCTTGCGTGAAGACTGTGATATCTGTGCTCCTGAGGGCAGAACAAAGACTTTGACTGTAGGACCTCCAAATACAGTTCTAGTCAAACACTCTTCTGAATGTCAAATGAGCTTGTTAGAGACATGGAAATAGAAGTTACTCTATGCTAGATTAAATTACTCATCCATGAAAAAACTGAGTATGTCTCATGTCTTGATTTTCGAGAGCAGTTCCTTTCCCTGTGGGTAAGCCACTGCCAAATATGTCTTCAACATCATGAAGGTATCATATCTAGATTGGTTTGAAGTCTGAGCTAATTTGCCTGACTACATGTTGTAGGTAGATAGCTATGGGGACTCGTGCAGTCTGAAGTTGTCCTATGTGTAGCCTAATCCATGAGAAGTCCCCTCCCTTACAGTGTCTTTGCATTGTGTATTTTTATGGAGATATTTGCTGTGATGCACACTATGTGGAACTAGAAAAAAGTATTTGTATGCAGATACTAAAGTGCTTGTGCCATATAAGCTTGTGCACAATCAAAGAGCCAGGAAGTAAGTGTGTGATGTATGTGTTTACAAACAGCTTCAGTCTATTTGAAATAGTTTGCGTTAGAACAGCTGTACAAAATTGTTTTCAATTAAGAGGTCTGTAAAGCTCCAGAGAAATGTCAAAGGTGGCCAGACACTTTTGAGTGATAAAGAATCAGAGCAGACTGTCATTTTTGTGAAGATAATGGCAACATGTGAACAACAAAAAAAAAGGAACAAAAAAAGTGTGAGTCTCACTCCATACATTATTAATAAAAAAAATAATCTCTCAGCTACACTTTTTAGCAAGATGAACATTACCACAATATGCTCCAAAAGGCCAGCTTGAACTGAAAGCCAATTTGTAAAGATCTTCCATGTTTTCTAACTGCCAAGAAGTTCTTATTATCTTATAAACTTTTTAGACTGCCATCCTTAAGCAAAATGAGCGTGGTTTGTTTTTTTTTTTTTCATTCAAGTCATCTGTGTTGAAGAGGAGTCTGATTTTTCATTTTGTAGAGTAGTAATCTGAGCATTAGCACAAATCTCTGGAAGTAAAGAGAGTCACAGTGTTGTGAAATCATGACAGAGAACAGAATCTGTAGAAATTCAGAAAAAAAAAAAGAAGAATGTAGAATGTTTCTTCCTCTCTCTTTCTCCCCTGAGGTCTCTAAAGAGAGTGTGTAGAGTTGGGTAATATATGACTGTGGATTCTGATAACAACTCATTTCCAAGGGTTAACTTGAGCTTCTTTAGGTTTCAATTTTGTATAATATGAAAAATAATTAGAAATAAGTTATGTTGGGCAGTCCTGAAAAGTCACAAAACATTAAGGTTTTTAAATGTCTTCACATCACATTTTTTTCTCTTTGTATTTCCAGGGTAATTGGTTGAACAGGAAGGCAAATCGTGTTTGCAACCAACCACTGAAAACCAATTGTGTTCTTAGAATGAAAAGTTCTACAAAATACCCAGGCTATTAGGCCTATTCACTCTCTTTGCTGGCATTGTTTCTCTGGATGTTGAGTTGGAAATATCTCTGGAACTGAACAATTTTTAATTGTGCTAGTGTTGAATGCTATGCGTATTTCAAAATCTTTTAAGCATGACCTTTTACAACTCTGACCTTAACTATGCCATTTTGAGATCAAGAGCTGTGCAGAAACATTTTGCCTCAAGTCATATAACGGCTGCCAGAGCTCCCAGGCAGAAGTAAGTGGCCTAATGCTTCTTCTTTTTGTGAGATGCAAAATGCTACCATCATCTAGCTCTCTGTTGCCCACTTTAGGAGATTTTGCATAGTAGTTTCATGCTTCACAGTAGCATTGAGTAGGATCTTTTCCCTCCACCTCATTTCCTGCAAGATGATGCCTCTGGACTGTGCCAAACCTGAGTGCCCTGATTGCAAATATCTCACTGTCTGTATGATAGTCTAGAGCATGTCAAATGGAGTGCTGTTCTTTAAATACAGACATTTTTCTTGCAAGATCTTTCTTGCTGAGCCAATCTTGTGTTGCTCTTACCAGCTCAAAGCTCAGGGGGATTTAGCTGATTAGGATTGATGAACCCTGGTTGCACAATAACCCCAAAGGCTATTAGTGCGTTTCAGATGATGGGTATAAAATGTCACATGATTTCCTTCATTTTGTTTTGTAGATACATGTGAAAAGGGCAGTTTTCACTGGCATAACTCATTCTGACCAATATCCTATGAAACAATTAAATTTTTTTGAATGTGTGCCAACTGCCTATTGATTAGCTTTCATTAAAGCAGATTAAAGATTAAATTCATTTTAAGAAAAGTTTTTATTGATGCTTAAGCAGTGCTTTTCTCCGAGGTTTCAGGTGACTACTGTTGTAACAAAATTTTCACTTGTTACAAAGAAAAAAATCAGACATAATAACAAGAAGGGAAAAGGACAACATTTAATGCTGTTCTTCGTCAAAACTGACTCTTAAAACTAAGGTTTTAAGTTACTGACTAATTCTTTGTAGGGTTTCCTAGGGTGATTGAGGAGACTGCTTTCACCCCAAAGAGTAGCAAATTCAGTTTACTCATTGAATTGATATAGAATTGAACTTGCTTCCCCCACAATAGAATTTGCTAAAGCTTTTACTGAAAGTAGTACAATGGAGTAATTCATTCATGACCAAACAGTCTTCTTCTGTGCTTGCAGCCATTGGTGAGTAAGAGGAGTAGGTGTGAACAGATAAGTTGTTAAAGTTATGGGCAAGAACTCTGACTGTATAGTTGAGACTGCTAAAAGAGGCATGAAGATCTGGAAGATAACCTGTTTTAGGGCACCACTTAACACTGGCACATTTTTCTTCCTTTGCTTCTTATCACCTACAATGTAAGGGTTTGTTTGGAAACTAATTAAATTCCAATAGCTGTTAACAGTTAAAGTAATTTCAGAGAATGTAAGTTATTTATTTCTCCATGGATACAGGAAAGAAATTCATATGAAAGTGATTTTCTAATAAAGTATTATTTCAGTTGGAGAGAGCAAATACAGTTGCTGGATTTCAACCAACCCCATACTGGCAGAATTCTATTGTAGAAATTACTATAAGAAGTAATTTGTATCATCATAGGATGTTAGTTTTGAGGGAACTGTGTTTTCTTCCAGGTGATGAGATGATTTATTTTAAAGTTTTGTGGGAGTAAACCAGGTTTTTTATTTGTAGTCTGGATATGGCCATGCATGTTGATTTCTTATTATCTGTGCTCTGTTGTACCGATTCTTAGTGGAAGTCACACAGACTTTTGTCATTAACATATTTGTCCCCTGAGCATTTTATTTCTAATTAAAATGCTGGCCACACTAGGAAGTGATGTTACTTTGCTGGTGTCATTATTGATCTAAAGTGTACATCATAAAGTAAAGTTAGTAAACCTATGGTAAATGAAACATATCAATAACAAATACTATATTTGTTTGTAGATTGGAGAAAACGAATCTTCAAAGTTCCTTAGTTCTGTATCACTTGTAAGGAAAAGAAACCTGTGAACTGCTCAGTGACAATCTTAGGTCAAAAATCTGAAATTAAGAGACTGGGGAAGAAAAAAGAAAACAGAAATTCTTTTGGTAAGTTTTTTATTCCTCGTGTACTTCAAAGATGAGATATATTCTTATTCGCTTTTGAAACTCTTTTAGGTCAGACTTTTTTTGCAGATGAAAATAAACTTAAAAAATAATAGTAATTTAGGGAATCTAAAATTCATTTCTGCTGCATATCAGGAATGCATATGTTGGCAGAGGACTTGAAAGATCCAGATAAAGTTCCACTTAGCTGGATACAATGGTAAATACAATTAATAGTGATAAAAAGTCCTACTATAGTCAGCTTCTTTTAACTTCTCCTAGTGGTGGAGGCCATTAAAGCTTGACAGTAGACCAAAAAGTGCCATTAGCCTTGTAGCAGTCCTGGACAACGAAGAACTGCACCCAATTCTGTTTCACTTCCTCGCGTCTGCCACTGTGCGAACATAAAACTACATCCTGCTATGTAGCTTTATCAATACCCTGCCCTGCCTGATGTTTCTCACTGCTGTGCAGTAAAGCTCTTTACCATCAAGAATCTCTCCTATAACGTGGGGTTTGACTATAACAGAAATGCTTTGTAAATAATGATTTTTATTAGCTATTTCATATTGCACCTCTGGGAACTCTCTTACATATTGGAAAGTAGTATAGCTGCTAGATATTGTATTGACCTATGAAAAGTCTTGGCTTCACACCAAAAGTGTTTGCAGTGTAAAAAATTAATCTGTGTAATGTGCTTCACAGTGGAAAATATTGTGAAAGTGCTAACTTTAATTTTCATTGTTTGGACAGTTTATTGAGTTGTTCTGCCATTAGTGAAACAAAATTCACATTGATGCTATTAATATTTTGCTTAGGTAATGAATGATTAAGAAGCACAACATTTGGCCTTTTTTAATCTTTTTTTGATGGGGCTTTTAATTAACATATTTGTAATTTGATTTGATGTGCAATTCTCTTTTTCTGCTGTAAGGCACCCCAAAGTAGTTCAATTAAAGGCAATATAAACTGAAATGATGGTCAAATGCAAACACTTCAGTCTAATGCAGCAAAACATTTTACACCCAAAGATGATGAAAACCTGACACTGAAGCTTAGCTATTCTCTTTGCCACTTCTTTTATGTTTGTTGTTATGCAACTTCAGAAATGTAATTCCCCTTCTAGGTGAATTATTTCTTATTATTCTGCACAGTGTGTAATACTTTCTGTAACTAAAACATCTCCTTTGGTGACATCAGGAAGTACTTTGATGCGCTGGTCACACTAGATCAAGGCTACTTTCCATAAACTTAAGTTGTATATTTATATTTTTTTCTTATTTTGGAGGCAGGATGATGTAATGGAACGAAATTCACTGTCATCTTTTTGTTATCCATAGGAGTGAGGCTGACATATCCCAGAAAGTGGAATAAAAACCAGACAAAGTAGACATCTGTAGAGTGCTTGGGAGAGAATGATATGGAGATGTCTGACATGGAGAAGGACCTCAGCTCATTGCTGCAAAGCTCTGTAGGTCTATGAAGGTCCCATGAAGGTCTCCCACATGGGACACCAGGAGAGCGAGGACCACAGGGGTTGTGGCTGCTCCAGGTTTTCCCTCCTCTACCCTGCCTTTGCTAGGGAAAATAAACGATTTCCTCAGCTGCTTGGGTTTTTGCATTTCCCCCGCAGAACTAACTCTCTTAACTCTTGTCTTTTTTTTCTCCTCACTATTTTAGTTCTTCCTCTTCGTAGTCTTTTAATTCCCTATCCATGAGTGTTTTTCATCTTTTCTTCAGCAATCCCACTCTCTTGTGCTTCTTTAAATACTTCTGTATACCAGTGCTGATCCACTTCCTCCCAGCCTCTCTCCCTCCCTCTCTGCTGGACTGTACAGCTGTTTTTGCTGTCTCACTAGTCAGATCCAGCACCTCTGAATCTCTTTTTTAACTTCTGCTTCTCAGTGAAAATTTCCTGCACTGAACTCTGACTTCCCTGCAGATCCTGTCTGTCTCTAAAACAGACAAGTTTGGGTTGGAAGATCCTTAGACTACAGCAGTGCTCCTCTGGTCTTCTCTCTTTTGGCAGTTTTAGGTAACACTGAACCACATGAGCAACATGGTTTTTCAAAGAAATGTGACTTTCTTGTGTACTGTGCATTGTTCGAAAAATTAATCACATGAACAGGTGCAGAAGTCACATTAATATTCTCTAATATGAAACAGAAGGCAATGTACACAGCTATTCAAAGAGGCTACAATTATCAGCTAGAGCAAATAATTTGCATAACTTCCCCTTAATTATTACAAACCCAGCTCTGAAACTCCTGGTATTGTTCACATATCTTTGGACATACTAGGATTAAAATCGCCTTTCGTGCCTTTTGTGTCTGGCTTAGCAACTTTTTCCTTTCCTTCTGTCTAAATATATAAGCAGAAAAATGCAACATGTTTGATTATGGAAATTCTTGATAGTTTCTCTTGGCTGCTATTGGTTTTTCCTTCTGTTAATTTATTCTTGCTCTACTTAAATTGTGGTATTTGTTGCTGAACCTGCTCCTCTGGAGTTACCAAGGAGGTAAACTTAGCTATCTAAATCATGCCCTGGTATCAGTGTGAAAAATGTCACATGTTGTTAGGGGTAGTTAAATGAATGGTTTAGTTACATGCTGGAGATGCATAACAGACTAAACACTGGAAAAGTATGTAAACCTTACCACATAGTACTAAAATTACACTTTTAGACTATTGAATTTGGGAATTCTGTAGGGAGGGGGAAGAAAAATATACTTTCAAGGGGGAAAATACATTCTCAAAGCTTGAGAATGTGACATTTGGGTAGTCAAGGCTTCCTTATAGTTTAGGATATATACAAGAACCCAAATGTGAATGTCAGTCTTCACACAGAGTTCTAGTCTACTGTAGCCTGTCTTTTGTAACCTGTCAGTGCGTATTAAAGAGGCATTCAGTCTTATGCTTATTATACTGAATTCCTTTTTCACTGATTTTTTAATAAGTATTCTAGTAGATATAACATTGAGATTTGTGCCTATTATTAAAATTGATGAATTGGTGGGAAATCACAAAATGTGACACAACATTAGTTTCTCCTTTCAGTTGTATTGCATTGAATAGTTTGAATATTTCATATTACTTCCATTTATAATGTTTGCAGAATGCTACATTAAGATCCAAAATGAGCTCTACATTTTTATTCCTAAGCAAATGTGATAATTCTCTTAGAATCAAAATGAAACTTAGTCACTGGCATTATTTTTTAATTACATGGAGAAGTGGTTCTACAGTATCATTTCATTATGTTTAACGTGTTGTTAAATTAAGTTCTAAAATTTCTTCTGTTGCTGGAAAAGAAACTGTAAGTAATTTGGGAAGACTATTTCAATGTAATCTTCAGACACCATGTGCAATGATTTGAATGCAATTATAATATTTGTAACTATTAATAATGTTCAGTGATAATAAACCATGTCTGATTAGGATGGAGCTTCACTATGCTCCATGAAGGTTCCTGTGCAAGGAAATTAAAGTAGGAGAAGAAAAAAACGCATGAAATTGTCCCTATATTCTTTTGAATTGTTTTTAAAGCAAGTACAAGATATTAGGATTTGAGATTGTATTTGGTGTTCTTTAATAAAACAAATAATTTGTTCTTTAAGGCAACAGACACAAACTGAAATATGGGATGTTCATATGAATATGAGATAAAACTTCTTTACTGTGAGAGTAACAGAGCACTGTAACAGGCTATCCAGAGAAGTTGTGGAGTCTCCTTCTCTGGAGATATTCAAACCCAGCTTGGACATGATCTTGTGCAACCTGCTTTGGGTGAACCAGTTTTATCGGGGGGTTGGATAAGATGATCTTCAGGGCTACCTTCTGTCCAAACCATTCTGTGATTCTGCGGTTCTGTGAAAGTTTTAAAAGAGACTCTTTGAAAGATCATGTTTTACCAGCCTGACCTTTTTGATATAGAACTACTAGCTAAAGGTTCACCAGCGTAAGCCAGTCCTGCCTCACATCAAATAAAAAGTCATATATGTCTTTGATATGGCTAGTTACTCTGCTGATGAAAGGAGTAGTATCCTAAAGCAAATATGCATGTTTGAGGTCTCAGCCATTAAATGACTCCACAGAAAACACACAGGAAGCATTTAACTGCCCTACAGGAGCCCATGAGGGAAGCTAGGAATACTTGATTGTGATGGTAAGAAGGTTAATAAAGAACGTCCTTAATCATTCCTGTAATAAAGAAATGGAAGATGTTTCCTAAAAGTCTGGGGAAAGCATTGGTAAAAGCAGTATGCCAGGAAGTTGACTTATTATGTGGAATAAAGGGAAGGAGGAAAACGGTGAAGAGGTTCTTGGAAATGAAAGAGCACCAGGGTTTTTCCATTTACAAACAGTGGAGAAATCTTGAAAGAATTTTAGTTTTGGTTGAAGACAAGAACAAGAAGAGCAAATGTCCTTTGAAAGGCTAGAAAGCAGGTTTGAATTGCTTCCTTTTATTTATTATTCCTTTAGCCTGAGGAAGATAGCTCTAGAAACATCCATTCATGAAAAGCAGATTTTTTCAATATATTACTGATTTTGATGTAAATTAGTCTGTATTTCTGAGTGCTTATTTGTATCTTCACACTCAGAAGAGAAAATATTATTATCTGAATTCAATCTTTTTGTACGTTATACGGTCAGTTTATGATCTCTTATTTTCTATTTATTTTTATCTTTCCCTGGTTATAACCTCTCTTTTCCTAGTGACATAGGTGATTTTTTAAATATTAAGGAAAAATATACAGGTTTTGATGTATATGATAGCCCAAGTATAAACATTAAATGTTTGAATACTGTATTAAAAAAGTCTTAGATAAAGTACCATGGTTGTAAGATTTTTTCACATTAGTCTGATTATGAAATTATGATAAGACAACTGTCAAAGTTGTACATGACTAACCTAGGATTTAGAATTGAGGTTGAATTAATAAGCCCACATTTCCATTGTTGTATGAACTCCTAATCTTTAAAGCTGAAAATTGTAAGAGAAG